GCAATGAACCTTTAATCCCAGCACTCAGGGGGCAGAGGTAGGCGGATCTCTGTGAGTTCAAGGCCAGCCTGGTCTACATAGAGTTCCAGGACAGCTGAAGCTACAGGGAGACCCTGTCTCAAAAAAGAGAGAAAAAAAATCGGTTATTTATATACTATGCACCTGTCCCTGCATACAGACGTGAACAGGGAAAGCACTTAGTAAGTATTGGCTGATTTAACACTGTTGCAGGAAGACTTGCGCTCCTTGATGGGATTCTGCTGGTAGGCTTGAACTGCACATGAAGTCCCATCCTCATTTCATCTTCTGTTCTCAGAAACATATCTTGCCAAAGCCTCTGTCTGCCTGAGTGAGCCTTGAACTCATATAAGGCTGAGTTTAATAACTCGCAGATTCAGGGGTTTAAAAAAAAAAACCAAATGGGCTGGAGAGATGTTTCAGCGGTAAGAACACTGGTTGTTCTTGCAGAAGACCCAGGTTCGAATCGCAGCACCCACATGGCAGCTAACAACTGTCCATAATTCCAGTTACAAGGGAATCCAATGATGTCTTCTGACTCCGTGAACGTTGCAGGACAAAGGTGCACTTACACATATGGCAGACAATATACTCATACACATAGAATAAAAATAATAAATATTTTAAAAACCAAAAGAGCTAGGCATGGTGGCATATGCCTTTAGTCCTAGCACTCGGGAGGCAGAGGCAGGCGAATCTCTGTGAGTTTAAGGCTAGCCTGGTCTACATAGTGAGTTCCAGGCCAGTTCAGGCTACATGTCTCAGAAAGACAAAAAAAAGGGGTTGGGGTTTTAGCTCAGTGGTAGAGCGCTTGCCTAGCAAGCCCAAGGCCCTGGGTTCAGTCCTCAGCTCTGCGGGGGGGGGGGGGGGGGAAGCCCAAACAAATAAAAACACAGAAGAATAAAATAAGGTAGAGAAAAAAACTTAAAACTTTGATGTGTCTTTCTCGTGTGTGTGTGTGTGTGTACTCTTTCATTCCTTCACATTCAACAAGTAGGTATTAAACAGCCCCATCATATCAAGTACTATTCTAGATGAAGTACATTCATTACTAAATGAAGTAGGAGAGGAAGAAAGGACCAAAGAAAGGGAGAAACAAAAATCTTCACTCTCAAAGATTTATATACTAGTTGAACAGAAGGTAAAATACATATATATATGAACACAGAGACAGAACATTCATGAAACTAAAGCATTCATTAATACATGCATTACACTGATGTTTTCTCCCTTTTTTAAAAAATGCTGGTCATAACTCATTAAACCATTAAGCTGCCTTCTCTAAGACTTACTTTGAAAAATACTGGCCTAAACAAGTATGATAGTATGTGCTGTTCCCATTTTACAGTGGAGTGGCATGCAAAAGGTTAAGCAACTTACCTAAATTCACTCATGATCCCAGAGAAGCAGTACTGAAAATTTCACCTCAGGGCGTTGACCGAGTCTACTATCCTTACACTGTGGGTCCTCACCCCTGACCCAGCTCACATTCTCTTTGATTATACAATTTGGGGGCAGTGGGGAGGGAGAACCTCACTCTGTAGCTCACGCTAGGCTTGAACTCATGGTGATCCTCTTGCCTCAGCTGAGTGCTGGGATTGCAGGCCTAAGATGCCACACTAGCTTGATTATGCAATCCTGACTTTTGCCTGGGTTATCACTGCACTCCCTTGCCAGGTAAAATCACCTATATATTTCTAAGCCTATCCAGACTGCAATATGCTCCAAGATGCCTCTTACATGCCACAACTGCCACATGCCTTGCTCTATGACTACTAGGATGCCAGAATCAGATTCTCCACAATGTCACTTCCCTATAAGCAGGTCTCACTGATTTTTTTTTTTTTTTTGTTCCTCAAAGCACAGCACATGACAGAGTAGGTATGAATAGATACCCACGGAAATGAAAGAAATTGTGACACAAAGCAGAGGACTGATGGAGAATACTCCTAGCTAAGACTGCAGGAGTTTGGCAGCAACTATTTCAAAGGCTAGAAATATTATCTTGACTATATTGAGTGAAGTGGGAAGACCTATCACTGCAGGTAGCACCACTCCCTAGCTAGGCTCCTGGTCTGTATAAATGAAGAAAGGGAGCAGAGCAGCAGCATGCCTTCGGGTTATTCCTGTTTCTTAACAGTAGATGGGATGTGACCAGCTGTTTCAAGCTCCTGCTGCCTTGATTTCTCTACCATGAGGGAATGTACCTTAAACTGTGAGACAAAATAACCCTTTCTCCCTTAAGTTGCTTTTGTCAGGGTATTTTATAACATGAACAGGAAAACAAACTGAGACATCTGGATTATCAAAATCACATGGGAGGTAAAGGCTTCAACAGTGTAAAAACTATACAAATGTTTTTATCTTCCTAACATCAGTAGATTTAGAGTACGTCACAGATCACACAAAACAGAAACAGTGAAACTAACTCAAGAAAATGAAGCTACCAGAAGGAAGCCCAAGGAGAAGCTGGATGGCCTTAAGGACAGGAGCCAGAAGGCCTAGGGGCTCCTCAGCAGCAAGAGCAAGGGTATCATCCCTGTAATGGTGACCATTACAATGGGAATAGTTCCAATTTACACAAATGCATAAATAAATCAATACAAATTCTTTTTTTCTTTTTTGAGACAAAATCTCACTATGTAGCCCTAGCTAGCCTCTAATTCATAGAACTCTGCCTGCCTCTGCATGCACCACTATGCTCAGCTCCATTCAAATTCTTAGAGCCATGGCCTCTTCTAGAAGTGTCAACTACTGCTTCACTTAGTTGCAGCAGGAGAGGGCTATCCTAGAGGAAACTATTAAAAGGGAATAAACATTGACCCAAATTAGAATATTCAATTTAAATTCCACCCTACCATCAGAAAGGGTGGGAACTCAGGTCCAAGACAGAGTCAGTTATAAGAGGTTATACAGGGACTAAGGACATAGATCAGTAAAACAACAAACACATCTTTAGCATATGAAAGACCATGGATTCAGTCTTCAGGAACAGAAAATACCAGGATCACTCCCAAAATAACCCTCTATTTGTGACATAGTATAAAATATAATTTTGATCATGAAAATTTTGTGCAAGAAATGTTATAGAACTCTCTAAACTCAGGGTTTTCAGACTTTTCCTTTGAATAACATTATAATTCTGTAAGATAAAAAAATGTCTGTACTGGGGTCTCCGTATTTAAATAAGCACCTCCACCTCAGATTCTTGTTAAAGTTTGGTCATATTGAGCAACTTAAGTCCTTATTTTAAATAATATAAAGGCCTTAATTTACATAATTTAAGTTTTTAATTAGATAAAAACTAGACAATAAAACCACTTCAAGCACACAATTTACACTAAGTGAGAATGTGTACAAATTTAAAGCCATCGTATAACTTAGC